CTAACCTCGTAACCCTAAATCCTAACCTCGTAACCCTCAATCCTAACCTCGTAACCCTAAATCCTAACCCTAAATCCTAACCCTAAATCCTAACCCTAAATCCTAACCCTAAATCCTAACCCTAAATCCTAACCCTAAATCCTAACTTCCTAACCCTAAATCCTAACCCTAAATCCTAATTCCTAACCCTAAATCCTAACCCTAAATCCTAACCCTAAATCCTAACCCTAAATCCTAACCCTAAATCCTAACCTCCTAACCCTAAACCCTGCCCTCCTAACCTTAAATCGTAACCTCCTAATTATTATCTCCTATGATGTTGTGCATGTTAAAGTATATATTATACTTAAGCTCTCTATTCAACTTCATGTTCATTGACAATCAAAGATGGCCCATTGTAATTCAATATTTCAACATCAACTCCTCTCCATAACCAAGGGTTGTCATTTGTTCTCATCCGTTGTTATTTTCAAATATTTACTATATCCAAAACCAAATCACAAGATATCATTGCAACAATTCTTTTTGATTACATTGAGCCAATTTTAATTTGACCTAAGCCTTCAAGACCTACATTAGCCTCAAAAGTCAAATCTCAATTTCCCAAATGTGTTCTTCACACTGTACCATCCACCCCGGGCCTGCAACACAGACGCTTTGTGCTGTGTTGCACACATGTTGCGGTTTTTATGACCAAAGCACACTGTAGAATTGATTTCTAGGCTGTGGGTGTGACCTGCTGTGCAGGTGGAAACCTGGGATCCATGTTTCTTGGGGTCACATTAACAATTGTTCCATTGCTGCTCGCGCAAGACTTAGGATTCCATAATTTTTTTGATGTTGCACTTGCTGTATTGTGCCAAGTTCAAGGCGCTGTGCAACCTGACCTTCCCTTCTAAAACACACCAAAAAACACGCCTGGTGTGGTGTGGTGCAATGCTGGCACAAGTTTGTACCATCCCACATTTTGAAGTATTTACCATTACTGCATTTACATCTAAAAGATCTTTCTTGACCAGCACCACAATTAAAGCTCATCAAGGGTCCAAACTTTTCAAATCAAACAACTTATCAACTTTCAAAGCAGAAGACCAAAAAGATATACCATCTTTCAACTCCAAGTGGTTTAAAATTGAGTCATGAAAAATCTTATATGACAACTAATGATATAGAAAAGATTTAATTAAGTCCACAGTCAATAAAATGGTTATGTTCAAACAAAGGTAAGCCAGAAGAGATTGAAATACCTGAAGTTATTACTGTCAAATTGACTCTTGTAGATGAACCTTAACTCACTGGTATACCTAATACTTAGGATCCATTTTGGTTTTTAAGCTTTCAATGTTTCTTCTCAATTTGAGTGCTCAAACATTGAATTCCTTGTTGAATTTTTGAGAGCCTTTTTGCAGCTTTTTTCATATAATTCAGAAACCAAAGTTTTAGCCTTTTAGTATTCATTTAGTAAATCATCTCTTTGGGTTGGTTTTTGGCTACAATCATTGTAAGTGTTTTACTACTTTATGATTTGATTTATGATTTGATCACTTCTTAAAAAATAGGCCAATTGCTGCATCAAAAGGTATTTGTTTATCAACAATCAATTGGTTTGAAATCTATCTAGACCTCCCCACCCTCACACCAAACCCAATCAAAAGACAATCCAACCAAGCAGATGGAAGGGAGCCAATAAGGAAATTGGACACATTTTGACTTGCCCAAATGCATTTGTTTTTGCTTGTTTTGCTAACACCGGAGGCGCTAAAAACTAACGACAACGATTGCATTCATGTATCGAAAACGAACCCAGATGATACATCTTTCATCACATCCAGATGCAATCGCATATCAATTTGACTTGTTAGAAAAAGACGGAGTGGTGCCAATAAGTCATTCAGCGTATCGATCACGTCAATATCGCTCCATCCTTATACATACGCCATGAAATTTCTCCCGATGTTGAGGAAAAACTGACAGTGAGTCTTTTTTTTGCCCCGCCGTCGCTGCATCGATAGCGGATACTTCCCGCCCTTCATCGCAGATATCGGTCCGCGATCGTCCATCAAAAAACGACGGGAAGATCAGTCCGCTCCGACAAGCGAACCAATACAACTTTCCGTTTATGACCCCGCTTTTAACTCCGAAATCGACATCAAAACACCATTTGCTTCCGTGACGAATACGTTACACCAAATCGAATGCGTATCTTCACCTGTTGTTTAACATCATACAAAAACTGTCGGGGGTAATCTTCACAGCTTGGATTGGTTTAGGGTGTTGTTGACATTCTTAGCCTTGAATATCTGTGATGTCAAACGGCTGCAGCTAGTGTTTTGATTGCAGGTCAATCAAATTGTTGACTGACATGATTGTCTTGTCACTTTCAAAGAAGCGAAGACATTCACACTTGCATCGTCCATCTGACAATCGACAATTTTGGAGTCAATCGGTGCTTTCCAAATGTCTCCAGTTGACTGGTAAAATCTCCTTCAACTTTACACCGTGGTGACTCGACAGAATGAAGAGTGTTCTGAAGACAGGTTTGGTTTGTCTTCTGCTCTATAGCTTGTGTTCTTTCAAGTGACTGACTGGTTGATATCTTTTAATTTTGGCTTCCTTAAATATTATCAGCAAAACCTTACGCAAACCCACCTGCTTCGACTTGATTTTCTACCGTTTGATTGATCACTTTGTTTGCTTGTCTAGCATGGCTTCAAGACCGTTTGTTGCACCTCAAATCGTAGACTTTATTTCATATGATTCTGAATCAATTCGGAAGGGGAATCAGATCAACTCAAGTGGATTCAACAAGTACCCAATGCTACAAGACATATACGAAATTGTTCCACTTCCTTTCATCCACTATGTTCCTATCCCAGCGGGTTCTGACTTACCAAGCGACTCTCTTCGATTGGTCCGCAATGTGACGGAGAAGCCACCTGTTTTTGAAGAACCAACTTTATGCCGAACTTTGCCAGATCTGCCGAACATACGTGAAGACTTTGTGGCCGCCATGCGAACAACAATCCACTGGGTAGTTGAAAGTAAACGGAATAATGGCCGGAAGCGATTGTCATCAGATGAAGCAAAGGCTGAAGAAGCAATGTCTTCAAAGAAAAGTCACGGACCAAAGCGAATCCATGAAGATACTTGGACTTTCCGATGCCCATGTGCTGGTCACCCTCGCAAAAAGGCCTCTTCTGTCCCCACCGATGACAACACTACCAGTCCTACCAACCCTGCACACTTGACCCGTACTACTGGAAATGTCATCACTACAGTCTTACCAAAGGAGAAGTTAAAAAGAAAATCACAACCTTCAATGAAAGTTGGATGTCCTGCTAAGTTTACAATCAAGAAGAGAATTGATAACGGACTCTACGAGTTGGATTGGGTTTGGGAACACGCAAATCATGAACCATACAGCCTTGCCGATATGAAGCGTATGCGTTTAGCCACTCCTGTTCGAGATTGGTTGTGCGAGAGGGTGGTTAGTGGAATGGATTGGCCTGCAATCAGGCGACTACTCATGTCCCCTGATTTATTCCCTGTAGGTTGTCCAAGTTCGTCTATGATACTATGGTCGCTTTATCATCTGATGCTCCATTTGCTGTTTTGTGATTACAGGAGGATCTTGAAACCCCTGATTATGTCCCTGAACTGCTTAATATAGACTATCAAACTGTCAAGAACATGATCCGTAAGCGTCGGGATCAACTAGTGCACCTCGATCCAAATGCTTACCACTCACTTCAAGCTTGGGCCAATAAACTTCGTGAAAATGGATGGCATGTTCGAGACCGCTTTGATGAAAAGACTCGGTTCATCAGCTTTGCCTTCTTCTCCCCTTGGCAAAAGCAACAGCTACAGGCACATGGGGGAGATATCGTATGCCTTGACTCAACCCACAATACAACAAACAACTTTCCCAAAGACTTTGACAATATCAAACTCTCCCTTTACACTATTGTTATACGAAGCCCTGTAACTGGAAAAGGTGTTCCTGTTGTTTGGTTTCTGACATCAAATGAACAAATGTGAGTGTTGTTTTATTATCCTAGGCATCCCTTGCTTGCATCCAGTATCTCATTTTTCAATCGTTTCCGATCAGCCCGACAATTCGTGATATCTTACTGTGGCTTCGACAAGATCACAAGTTCCAGCCAAAGACGTTCATGACCGACTGTTGTCCAGCTTTGGCAGGTGCTATCAAAGAGGCGTATTCAGACTCAACTTCCCCGCCTCAGCTGTCCTGGTGCTTCTTTCATGTTCTACGCGCGGCCCGTAAAAAGGCAATCGAGTTGGTGTGTCTTTCTCATTCAATCTGGTTTTCTTTCTCAACACTAATGTGATACGATATTGGTCCACAGGCTGGTAAACAAATAGCGGAAGACCTGGTCCTTGGTTTCATCAAAATAGCTTATGCGGTCTCTCCTCAGGCAGCTTTTGATCAATTTGTCCATGAGTGGGCAGAGTCTCAACCTCAATTTGTCCATTATGTTCGTACTTTCTGGATGAAGCATGTAGCTCGCTGGGCAAGAAGTTATGCACACCCAAACAACCAGGGAATCCATACAAACAACTATGTTGAAGTATGGCACCGGCTTCTGAAAGTTATCTATCTCCCTCGTCATACACGCCTCCGACCCGACAACCTAGTACATATCCTTATGAAAGAAGTTGAGCCTGATTTCCGAATTGCTTCTTCAAAAGTTCTGCTGGGCTTTCGTGGACCGCGAACAAATAAAGCTCAGGAAATTTCCAAACGTACTGCGGATCATTATTCGGTGGATGATCTATCTATTCTGGGTGTCCGAATTTTTCGCTTTCCTGGCCTATTCCTCATTGACTCACTTTCAAATCCATCAAGACGGACGTATCTAGTCAAGTTCAAACCTGCGCGACATCACTTGAAAGCGGAAGTTTCAAATTGCAACTGTGAAGGCTTTTCTAAAGAGAAGGTGGCATGCAAGCACATGTACCTAATCTCGAAAAACTTTGACATGGTGATAGTCGAGGACCCTAGCTCAATCTTCACCGTACAGTGGCTCACTGGCCCTTATGGGAACGTCCATACACTTCAAACTTATGCTTCATACATCAAATCACAATACCCTGAACAATCAGATCGGATTCCACAACCCTGGCCCATCGGTTTGAACACTGGTTCCGATAATCGTATCTCTAGTGATATCACATCAACAGTCTCTTCCTCCAATCGTGATTTGGCCAATTCGGTTGTGGTGGATGCCGAAACAGTGCAAGCTTCAAATTCCTTTGTCGAGGCTCAAATTTCGTCTTCTCCTCCCGGTGGCTCACCATATGAGTGGTTCGGATCCGTGATCGAAGCTTCTGTGATGTGTTCAATCGATGTAGATGATCAAGCTGTCACATCTTGTGGATGTGAAATGTTTCAATTCACAAAGAAACCGTGTGGTCATATGTTTACTGTGTCAAAAGAATTGGGACTGCCTATTGTTTTCAACAGGAATCCGACTGTCTCTGTTGAAAACACGGCTATGCCAATAATTACTTGCAAGCTTCACTGTGGGCGTAAATTGGTTACCGAGTGTAACTGTGATCATTTTCAGAACCTCAGCAAGCCCTGTTCTCATATGCGAAAAATGTGCCGGACGCTGGGCCTTGAGTTATACGTGTTGACATCCGATAGCGACAATGGCTCAGATGCGAGCTCTTCGATTGATTCCGAACAGCATATCAAGCGCTCCGAGGAAGATCACTCCTTACCGCAATCCGTCGATCCGAATGCCTTGGAACAGGTCTCAAAAACAATTTCTCATAGTGACTTTACCACTCCTTTAGTCAGATCTACTTGCGCCACACTCAAACGCATCACTAATTCGTTATCGAAGAATGCAATCAACCGTCTGATCACCTCGGTTGACCCAGAGACTGTGGAAGCGATCGAGGGGTCTGTAAAGCGACTGGAGAGGTCATTTGGTGATGCTCTCGACAGCGGTCGCCCTTCAAAACAGCATAGACATGCACAAGTAAGTTGTCTTCGATTACGCTGTTCACCTATGCTCAGTATCATTTTTAACCCTCGCTTCTCTCACTCCAAAGCGCTCTCGCTGATCAAGTCTCAGATCGAACTTGCTGTCAACTTATATTGGAAGTTGACAAACTTCAAATTTTGTATTTTTCTTTTCAATCTGTTCCTCTTTCTGTGCCATCAAAAATTCCCTCTTTGTAATCGTTCTGACCATGTGTTGAGTCAGATTCCTTACTCACAGCCACAGTCGGTCAACGACGCAAAGCTCGTTGGGTTCAGGTGTGAGTCACTTTCACGATGTGGTCTAAGTTTTCTGTCCGATGGGCACGCTTTCTAGCTTTCTGTCCGATTGTCACTCTCTCATCTTCATTTCCGTCTGTCACCTTCTTTGTTTTTTCTTTCCGATGGCTCCTGTCTTGAAATTCAATAGTTCATCTTGTTTTTTGGCATCTCTCCTTCTTACGCGAGCGGTAGTATTCGCACGTCACTCAGTGCATCCAAGTATGCACTTCCATGGATGCACACAGTGACGTGCCGATGCACCAGTGCATCCTGCGATCCACGGTGGATCCGAGGGCATACTTGTCTATCGATCCTGACATCGTTGCCTGTTGTTTAACGGCTTGCAAAGGAAACTTGGAATCGAAGTTGAAGGTCTGTTTGTCTTTCATCTTCGAGTAAATCAGGTTGAATCACTTCCAGATTGGGTGAGATCTTCCAAAGGAGGCCATCTTTGGACGGAGACGCAAGGAGTTGTATGTTTGAGTGACTAGATCGAGTTGTTATCTACCAATCGGGAGCTAGCAGTGGAAGTCCCAGGAGGCAAGGTTGGACCCTTGTTGCTGACCCCCGTTGCGGGCAACGGGGCCGCAACTGCAAAGCAACGGATACTCTATGCTCGCCCCGAGGGGCAACGCAACAGGCAAAGGTGCGGCACGGTGCGCTGCGGTGCGTTGCCCCTGTTTTCCGTTGCTCGGCGTTGCTTGACGTTGCACACGTTTAGCAACGCACCGGCCCAACGTTGCTAGGAGGACTCCTATGCCAAACATACTTGCATCGCCAACCCATCCCACTCTTTCTGGCTTTATTGCCGGGATTATACTTCACGGTTCAAAGTGTGAGGGTTGGGTATTCAAAAGAGTACTCAAGACTCACTAAAATGGCAAGGTACGTTGGTAATTTTTGATAATTAAAGTTATATTTCAAATATAATGTATTACAATAAATTTATTAAGAAAGGAGAGAAAGGGGAAGAGGGGAACTGGTCTGTTAGGATACACCCAGACAGACTACAGTTAAATGACTCCTAAAAAGGAGGTTCAAGGTTTTAATTATAAGATGTTATAATTGTTGAAAACTGGATCCAAGGCTCCCCTTCAATCTTTCAGGTAACAGATTGAAGAGTGATATGGAGGTCACTAACCTGGTTGTAATAAAGTCACCAACTTATAGTTATTCAAGAGGTCACTAACCTGGAGTTGATGTAGGTCACTAACCTGTAGTTGTTCTGAAGGTACACTAACCTATGAGTTGATATAGGTCACTAACCTGTAGTTGTTCTGAAGGTGACTAACCTGATTGTTTATTGGAAGGTCACTAACCTAGTACAAGGGTTCTACTTGAGGGAAGTAGAGGATCCAAAGGGGGAAGAATAAGATCACTTTATCTTTTAGTCAGGAATATACTTTAAAGATATGAAGTGAATCACTAGTCTTATATTTATAAGACTTTTGATTATGTACTTCAAAGGAACTTTAAAGTGTTCTTTAAAAGAGTTGTGTAATAAAATGCTTGAGGGAAAATCCCTGAAGGCTGAGAGAGGAGGGGTTTATATACTCTCCTCTCCAAACCTAATTGTAGTGATATTTGTTTGTATCATTACTATGGTTTAGGGTTTAATGATTACTATTAATTATTATTATTAGGATCGCGCTATTTGGCGACCGGTTTGAAACCTCAAGCCCGGTTTTGCCCATTTTGAAAACTTTCAATGCCCGGTTTGAAATCAAATAACCGGGCAAACCGGTTTTTTATCAACTTTCACTCCGTACAGATTTCGGGTGTTCAATTTACTTCTCACATGTTCATTTCAGTTTTGACCCGTTTGTGTTGGACCTCTTTTTCAAAAACAAAATTAAGACATTTCGTGTTTCATTTCTTAGAAGCTTTCTGTCGTGTTTCAATTTCTTACAAGCCAAGATAAGGAAAAAACATAAGAGACAAGTAGAAAACATAAAAGTGAAGAATGTGACATTGTAATGAGCGTCATGAGAAACAAACAATTCAAAAACAAACAGACACAAGAAACCAAGAACAAAAGATCCAGAACAAGAGCTGAAACCGTAGCGTTTTTCACTACGCCTTAGTCCAACTCAACAAATGCTCTTTGTACTCTTCAACCCAAGCTGGTATCTTGGTACTTTGAAGCATGTCAGGGTTGCGATCCCAACCCCATACCTTGGGAAATGGAAGAGACCCCGGGTCTTTAGGCCTTAAAGTGACGAAATGGTTGTTTTCAACAAAAGGTTCTCGACAAGAGCAATCGACAAAAGCAAGAACCATCGGATCTTGCTTGTTTGGTGTGGTGCGGTAAGGGAAATAACAACTACAATTCCCCTCTTGTCGATCCAATAGTATAAGTGGACGATTGTACGTGCTTGCGATGACATATCCCATGTATGGCATTCGCAACCAGTACTTTTGAGAGCATTTTGCTTCGTGGTAGTCAAGTCGAACAAGTAAGTCTTGGATAACCTCGGCGGCAAAAGATTGATGTTGGCGTTGGCGAGTTCTCATCGAAGGCTGGGTGTAAGATGTGGATATGAGCATTTCGTGATCTTGAGCATGCGTTGACAGTTCAATCAACAACTGCTTTCTGACATCGAGATAGGAGTGATCGGTATAAGCCCCAATAGCCGCTGCTATTGCGTGGTAACCACAGTTGCCTGAGGCAGGCGGATCGAAAACCGACTGCATGTATGGAACCATAAAAGGCGGCAACTGCTTCAAAATCCGTTGATCTTGAGGTGAAGCCAATGCGCTCTTCTCACAGACGCGGCTTGCATTTTCATGTAAAGGGCCTTCCACAACATCGTCTGAATCTACAATTGAGTGAACAGCATTTCCCCAGACCCGGCTCGCTTCCAATGTGGCCTTGATCTTTGGATCACCTTGAGGCAGCTTTAAATCCTCGGCAATGAGCATCATGGTGACTTCGGGAAGGAGGACACGTCGAATGAAAAACTCGGGGGGAAACGGTTTCGCTTTGCTGGAATCAAGCACGGGGCCGGAATTCGACATAAACATAGCAGTCAAAGTCTTGATAATGACTTGATGACCTATTTGACCATAACTAAGCGCAACATGGTGTGTCAGTGTCAAAAAAAGCAATATGATGAATGATGCTCAATACTCACTACCCCGGATGCTCCACCTGGAACCCGTCAAAATCTCCGGCCAGACTAAACATCAAACGTCCCATTGTATCCCACTTCTCAAGAGCTTTGTCCAGAAAAACGGAAGAAGTCTTACGGTTGATGATGTGGACCAGAGGTATCGATTGTGTTTGAACACGGCTATGTACAAGACGTCATGGTGAGTTTACATGTATTGCAGACAGACAAGTCCATGCTTACCGTTCCACTTCCCCCCAGTCGAGGGAAGTTGGCCATCCTTCGCGGATTCCCAAGGGAATCACATCGCGTTCGGTCTGATGAAGATCACAAAACGAAGCGGTCTGTGGAAACTAAGGGGGAAAAGCATTAGGACATGCTTCAAAGAGTAATACAGACGGAACTCACAGGTAAAGACATCGCATTTGGGTGTCCTACCCTCTTGGTGATGTTTGGTAAAGCAAAAAGGATCATCTTCATATTGAGAAGTTTTCGAGATGACTGTAAGGGCATGGGCTCATCACAGAACGGACAAAGGTTGTCATCGTCTTCATTATCAGACCAAAGCGGTGCGATGCTGCTGCCTTCGGATATGATCAAGTCGTCTGGAGGATTATCCAAAAAGTGTTCCAATGGCTTTGAGTTTTCGATGTTTAACGATGATTTCGTGGTTGATGCTTGAGATAGGGTGGGCACGTCAATGTTTTTGGCCATGAGGCATTTATTGGCGCGATGATTGGGTTGCTTGCATAAACTACATTTGTAAACACGTTTGGTGTGTGTGGATTGACTGGTTTGAGTACTAACTTTAGGGTCACTAATTTGAGAACTGATTGGAGGTTGACTCGAGCGAGCTTGGATTCGAGTCTTGGGCTTAACCGAAATTTGAATACTTGATGTCGCCAGTCCCGGTGGAGGATGAGCGTCACCTTGACTCGTTTGTTGAGCTGTTGTAGTGGCTAGAGCAGGCTTTGAACTCGAACCAGTTTGAGAAAGATGAGCTTGGGCCAATTTCGTTGGAGCATGTGGTCCAGGAGTAGTATCAAAGGAGACTCGTGACAATTGGGATACTACCGCAACAGGAGGTAAATTGAGAGACTCTTGAGTCTCTTGAGATTCAATTGTTTTAGCAACAAGTGCTTCTGCATCCGACTCTAAATCAAGATCCCATTCGGCAGACGTAATCAAACCTTCATCGGCCATTCGGACAGGACATGTTGTTCGGTTATGCCCAGGTTCCGAGCAATAGCTACATGTCAAAGATGAACCACGTGATCGCTTCGCTTGGCTTTGAAGAGCTTCGGCGTCTTCAATCTCCATATCAGATTTCCAACGTGAGTCTCGTTTTGATGAATGACCTTTGATGTTTCGCGGTTGGCCACGGGTGTCGCGTTTCACTGCAGCGTTGGCAATGGGGATGAGTGCGTACCTCCCAGTTTGAAGCTTGGCCAACTCTTCATAAAGTTTCCAAAGTGAATGTTCGGGCAGGATGATCAACTCTTCCATCTTAAGTCAAACGGATGCTTGGAGGGCTTCAAGATTAGGAGGGCGAGCCACCAGAGACATCAACCACTGTTGATGAAATAGAGTTGAAGGAATCAGATTGGAATTTTCAAGAGCCCGGGCCAGCTCATGAACACATGGCATTCCCCAAGCTCCGCGGAACGAGTTCGTGCACGGCTTGTTCAAGGCGTCGGGTATCAATTTGAACTGAGTGTTGATTTTTCGAATAGCAAAGTGAGAAATAACCCCATGAAGATCTCGAAAGCAAGTTGGTAAACCCAGAAGTGACTTTTGGCTTTCAACGCCGGTCGAGACCATGATTTCGTTGTACTGAGATTCACATGCCCGTTTAAATGCTTTGAAGCAAGTGATAAAATCGTTTTGACTGCCATCTAAAAAGTTTTTCAGGCGATGATGCCCACCTTCGACTCGAGACGTTGATGAGTTTCCAAAGTGAGGGGTTTTGGATGTATAAAGGGCCACAAACTTTTCCGCTTGGTAAAGCCAAGTATTCTGGAGATACTCCCAAACACCATCGTGACATTGAGCTATCATTTTCACTGCTTGAAGGTTTTCCTCGTAAGCCTCTGTTGTTGTGCTCTGCACAAATCGGTTCCATGTTTTAAGGAACTCGGTCCATTCGTCAGCCTTGAATTTCTTCTTAAACTTCTTGCCTATGTTGTGATTTATGTGCCAGATGCATAATATATGAGTCGCACTCGGGAAGACCTTACTGATTGCGTTGTAAAGGGCAGGTTCGGCATCCGTGCAGAAGGTCTGAGGATAGATTTGAGTATTGCTGGAATCCGTTTTGGAAGGCTGGGAAGGCTGGGTGTTGACGTAGTCAGTAGTCTTGTCCTGAGACAAATCATGCTCGACAGTAACAGTGTTGGAAGATGCCGCCTGGGCTTTGTCGTGAGAATCTTGAGGAGGAATTGCAACATTCGCAGTCTCGGAACTTTCAGGTTTGAATTCGTCAGATGTCTTTGGCGCAGCCGAATCTTCATGATAGACCTCTTCGGTAAATACAACTGATTTGAGCTGTTCCATGGCCCATACATAGGCGTCCTCCACCTCACTGTGCATGAAACACAGGGCTACTGTAAAGGTTTTGTGAGTGTTTGTCGTCCCAACTATATGTAGCAGAGGTAAATTAAATCTATTGGTCTTGTAGGTACAATCAAGGCCAATAACCGTAGGGAAACGACGCGCTAATTGGATTCCACCGGGGCTAGCAAAGAATAGGGATTGCAGTGTACCGTTTGAAGCCGTTCTAGTCCTGAAAGCCCACTTGTTTTGAGTGATCAAGTCCAACAAACCTTCGATCGGGGTTCTACCGGCTAGCCACACGTCCCTTTGTCGTCGTAGCGCGTTGCGGATGTCTCGAGCCAGAGGTTGTGAGCCAGGGGGGAATTGAATAAGTTCTTGGATCTGTCCAGCGCGGCAACCAGCCGAAGAGAGAAGGTGGATCTGTTGTAATATTGGTTCTGAAAATCGTCGGTTCTTTGAGAGGTTGTGAGGTTGCTCAAAAGGCTCATGATTGTGTACGTGTTTTGCCTCGTTCTTCAAGTCCTTTTGGACTATCCATCGATCACACCGAGAATGATAGTTGAGAGAAAGTTTGAATTCACACCCGGTCATCTTGGACGAAGTTTCCCGAACCTCAGCTACAGAATTAACCACCCTTCCGAGTGAACACCTGAAGTAAATTCGAACCTTCTCGTGATGTTCGGTCTTGTGACTCTTAATAGCTATGCCGTAGCCTTGATGTCGTGCAACAGCATTGCAGTACATGATGCCACTCGTCATGGCTATGAATCTCTTGCCAAAGACAGGTGATTGCATAAGACGTACGGGTTGGGCTCCTAGTTAATGAGATGGTACAAAGTCAGATCAAGACTTCGGCTTGGTTTGTTTGATGGTTAGTAATGAAACTGACCTATTGGAGGCCAATCCTCGTCTCGCTCTGCCAGCAAGTCAATGATCTCATTGTCATCGAGATCATCCACATTATCCTGCGCTACATCAACAACGTCTTGGCCTAAGTCTGCTACGGCTTCATGTTCAGCAGCCGGTGCCGGTTCAGTTGTGGAAATTGGAGTCGATGTGGTCAGATATGCTTTGGTGGTAGGTAAGCTGAGGACGGGATTGATAACGCTGGAATCAGGAGTGGACTGTTCTATGACGTTCTTTCGCGGTAGAGTAGATCCTGCAGGATCCTTGGTAATCGTGGAAGAGGGGTTGTAGTATGGATATGTTGGGTCGTGTCAAACCGGCATATACGGGTACTGTCCTTCGAATGGGGCCTGGGGATAAGTATGTGATTGGAAGTAAGGATATTGCCAGGTGTCACGATGTGGTGGTGGAGCAGGATAAAGGTAAGGAGGGTATTGGTAGGGATAGCCGAATGGAGGTGGCTGATGAGGTGGTTGAGGTGGTGGTCTGGGTTGAGCGTGAACAAGCTGAGCAAGAGTGTTGATCAATCGGCTGGAAGGTTTGGGAGGACCCATTGACGATGACAAAGATGGGCGATTCGACATAGTGGATGAGCGTGAAAGTAAAACAACGAGGTGATTATCGGCCGTAATGCCAACGAAGGAGATGGTGAGCGGTTCCTAGAGAAGGAACATTGGTCAGCTTGAACGCAAGTAAGAGCAGAAGAACCTGAGGCAACACAGGGGGATGGAACTTACCATCTTTGGACTAGTTGTCTTGACGGTTGTGGTTCGTGAAACTTTTTTCAAAGTGTCAAGTCCGAGAGTCAGGGAGGGAGGTTGTCCAAATCGGGTCAGTGGCATCAGGCCATCAACAGGTGCCGGCGTCAGGCCAAGCATTGAGCGATTTCGTTGAATGGAGGGAGTTGTTGTTGAAGGAGTTGGGAAGCCCGGTTTCCGGAGGTTGGGGCCCGGTTATGTATGTGGTGTGCCCTATTTCCTTATCTGGTGCCCGGTACAGCTATTTGCTGCGGCTGCGGCTAAATTTGGCCCAAGAAACCGGGCAAGGAGGATTCCTAACCGGTCGCCAAATAGCGCGATCCTTATTATTATTAATATTACATAATTACATATACGTGTTATGTAATTTATGTAGTATAAGCACTTTAACTCTTGACACTGAGTTATGAGGTGTAATTGGTGTTTTATTACGTATTACATATGTTTTTAAATGTATATGTATATGTAATTGATGTTTGTATATGTTTTATTATATGTTACATGTGTTTTATAAGCTGTATGTACATGTAATTAGGTTTATAAGTGAAAATTCAATATTAGGGGGTGTCAAGTTTGATTTTTTATAACAAAAAAAACTATGAAACGGCTAAGTTTTTATGTTATAACTCAAAAAAAACTTAGCCGTGGTTGTTTAATAACTGCTAAACCATGATTGAGGTTTTTTTACATTTTGCCCTCGATCATCCACCTGGTGAGGTGAAAACTGCTGGTAAAAGGATGCAAGGTTGTCCTTGCATCCACTATTAAGCCCACTGTGTCTCAGAGCGAATCGGTCAAGGCGAGCTCTTTGATCAAATGTTGTAAGCATAAATTGTTTACGTTTTACGCAAACAAGATACATAAATCCTCTCCCGTTTGCATAAAATTTGTGTAAATTTATGCTACAGCGGGAGAGAACTTTTACGGTAAAAACCGTAAAAAAACAAACTTGACACCCCCTAATAACTGCTAAACCATGATTGAGGTTTTTTTACATTTTGGCCTCGATCATCCACCTGGTGTGGTGAAAACTGCTGGTAAAAGGATGCAAGGTTGTCCTTGCATCCACTATTAAGCCCAATGTCTCTTAGAGCAAATCGGTCAAGGCGAGCTCTTTGATCAAATGTTGTAAGCATAAATTGTTTACGTTTTACGCAAACAGGATACATAAATCCTCTCCCGTTTGCATAAAATTTTTGTAAATTTATGCTACAGCGGGAGAGAATTTTTACGGTAAAAACCATAAAAAAACAAACTTGACACCCCCTATTATAAGTTAGTTTTGGGTACATGTATATGTACCCAGGGCTGACACAAAGGTTGTTAGAGCTCTCAGCTAGCTCTCTAAAGTGTTTCTGGCTGCAGTTGAGAGATATCTCTTCGCGTTGTGGTGATCAATTTAATGGATCAATCAAAAAATTCATTATGAGTAGTTTACCAGTTCACTAGAAAAGTTTAGCAGGGAAGAAAAATTTGAAATGGAGGTTTTTGGATCAATTGAAGCTCTTATAGGCTTATGTATTGGTCATTGGGTTAACATTACATCATTTTATTTCACATTACTTATTAAGATCATTAGAGTTCATTCACAAATTTATTACAAAAAGAAAGAAAGAAAAACATAAGAAAAATTCGAAAATATAGGTATACAGGTTGGAAAATGGTGTTTAGGGTATTAATAATACGGTTATGGGTATTATGAGGTTATAATATGAAAGAACAACATTATATCATACTGTAACAAGTTTAATCTTGAAGGTTGATAAGAAGAAACAGAAGTTATTAGAGAAAAGGTACCTTTTTGAAGTTGGTAAACAAGAGGTATACATGTAGTTTGCATATGTAATGGTGGTGATAGTGAAATTTAAGGTTGCCAAGAGGATTTTCCGGGATTTTTAAGGCTATAGAGGATGATTTCATATTACATGAGCAAGAAAAAGAGAGTAGCAGCTGTGAAAAGTGAAGAAAATGGGTAAATTTTGTCAAAAATGAAGGTCTTCAGCTCATTAAATATGTCAAATGACGTAAGATTAGATTGGTAGATAGCTCATCCAACGCAGAATGGTGGATTACATAATTTATACAAACTTTAAATCAATAGTAGCAGAGATTTATGTAAAAGGTTATAAGGCAAATAAGAAATTGGCGTGAATCTCAAATTTACAGTCACAAGTCAACATGTAATACTAAAAATCTTACCTTCACAACTCAATATCTTACTCATCACTCATCAGAAATAGGTTATATGGGGGTGATAAATGATCAGTAACACAAGGGCTACAAGATGCACTTTAGTAATCAAAAATTGGACCTCATCTGAAAAAATTTGTAATCTCAAAATTTGGTTTTCAGCTAGTTTGCAAGGAAAAAATCACCTGTATTCATCATAAGAAGTTCTGTACATCATATTATTGCGTCATTGATCACTTTTAGCTGTGAAAATCACATCATTTATTAGTAACAAAATCATTACATTGCGTCATCATAGGGTTTACAGGGATCTTTGGGCGGATTTGATTGGTCTTGAGGCTGTTGACCATTGTAAAAGTTGGAGTACATTGTCATATATGATTTGAGAGG